CCCTGCTCACCAACAATGGTTGTCACTGCTGCCTAAATGGTTGCCTCACTCAAGAAACTGTGCTAGGTGCTAGGGCCATGGGGTGAAAAGAGAGGTATCAAATTCTTAGGTTCACGTGATCCTCTTGCTTCAGGCTCCCAAGTAGCTTGGACTACAGGAGCCCACCACAACACCCAGCTGTGTTTTAGAGATGGAAGTCTCACTCTGGCTCCAGCTGGTCTCAAACTCATGAGATCAGGCAATCCACCTGCCTCAGCCTCCCATATGATGGGATTGCAGGCATGAGCCACCGTGCCCAGCCAATGGTGCTCATACTCTGGTGAGAATGGCCAGGAAGGAGATAAGATAAGATGATGTGACCATCCTGGTGAAACGATGGTCAGGGAAGGTAACTGATGTACTAAGGCTGAGAAGATATAGAGGAGGCAGATGTGTGAGAATCTAGGGGCAGAGCTCTTCCTGCTTTGGGAATAAGAAGTACAAAGGGCCTGAGGCAAGAAGCAGCATGGCGTTTTGGAGGACCAGGTAAAGGGCCTGTGTGACTGCAGACCAGAGAGTAAGGGGAAAGAGTAGAGGATGAGATTGGATTGTGGGGGGCATGAGCAGGACTTTGGGTTTTATTCTACTTGCCATAAGTCACTGGAGGATTTTAAGCAGGGGGTGACATAGTCTGATTTATGTCTCTAAAGATTACACATTAAATGATGTCCCTACAAAAGTAGGAACATCATCCCCATTGTAGAGATAAAGAAGTAGAGGTCTGGAGAATCAGGTTATCTTGTCCCAAAGGTCTCACAGAACGGAAGTCTCTAAGCCAACATTCCAACCGGGTCTGCTTTATAGAGAGGGGTAATTGCAGTTTTCATGAGCACTGATTATGAACCTTTGGTTCAAATCCCTACTCTGCTGTTTACTAGCTAGATGGTCTTGGGTGAGTATTTTACTCTTCCTGGCCTCAGTTTTCTCATCTGTATAATGGAGTTGCTAATTATCATCTCTTCCTTATGAGGCCACAGTGAAGATTTAATGAGAAATGTCAATAACATTGGGGACTGGTATCTGGCATGTAAATACCTGAATTGCATTTCTTCTCTCTCTGACTTCACTGTACCTATAACTGTGATGCCATCCTTTGCCTTTTCTCTCACTCTGTCCTCTCCTGCCTCACTCTGTCCTCTGCCCCTGCTTCCTGGCCTCTCTGCAGATCCTCTGGACCTTCTCCATCTACCTAGAGTCGGTGGCCATCTTGCCACAGCTGTTCATGGTGAGCAAGACCGGTGAGGCGGAGACCATCACCAGCCACTACTTGTTTGCGCTGGGCGTCTACCGGACACTGTATCTCTTCAACTGGATCTGGCGCTACCACTTCGAGGGCTTCTTTGACCTCATCGCCATTGTGGCAGGCCTGGTCCAGACAGTCCTCTACTGTGATTTCTTCTACCTCTACATCACCAAAGGTAGCCAGCATTCAGGGCCGGTTTGAAGGGAGCCTGCTCTTTGTGCAGCTCCTGTGTCCCTGGGGTCTGGAATTCATCTCCTCATCTCTGTGTCACTCAAGGGAGGGATGGCTTCTGGGGCCCCATGCCCACCTCTCCTCTAGGAATATAGACCTTTACCCTTTACCTCCCTAAGGACCAAAGAGTTTTTGTCCTCAGCTCCCATGTTACTTTGAATGAAGGCCAGATGGGGCAGGGACTCATGCCTACTACGAGTCATTCATTCAGTTATTTATTCAACAAATTTTGTAAGCACTTTTTGTGTGCCTGGCCATGTGCTAGGCTTCGGTATAGAGCAGTAGGAGAAAAAGTGAATGAGGCCCTGTTCTACTGGGGGAGATGGTGAATGAACAAGTAAAGAAAGAGAATTGCCATTAGTAAGAAGGGCTGTGAAAGAAATAAACCAGGGATGTGTTCGTGAGTAACTGTGGATGAGGAGGGGAGTGCTTTACATGGGGGTCAGGGGAGGTCCCTTTGAGGAGGTAATTTTTAGGAAGAGACCTGAAAACCCAGGAGTCAGTCATGTAAATGAAAGAAGAGCAGTAAAAGCAAAGGCAGAGAGTTTTTCAAGGGTGGAAGAGGAGCAGCTGGCCCTTGGAGAAATGGAACTGCTCTTGGCCTTCATTGTTTAGCTCTTAGGGTGAGACCCCCACCCCCTCAGTGATTCAGGCCAATTCCCCAGTTTTTGACCCAGAGTCCTGGAAGACTGTCACTTGTTGCCTAAGTTTGGATGGCCTAGTGTGTGGGACCTGTTAAGGGCTTGGGAGGCTGTCCCCTTCTTCTGGAGCCCTGATGTTAATGCCTACTCTTTTCTCTCTTCACAGTCCTGAAGGGGAAGAAGTTGAGTTTGCCAGCATAGCCCTAGTCCTCGCCATCCCTCTTCTTGGCAGCGGCAGGAGGCAGAGGAAGGCGACCAGCAACGAAGAGCTTTCCCATCCAGGGTGACTTTTTAAAAGACCCAACCTCTTCCTGCTCCCCATCCCACCTCCTGTTCTGTTTCAGGGGGTCAGTGGAGGACTTAAATCTCGGGGAGCTCAGGACCTGGGGTGTTTGTAGTTTTTTGCCTTTTAGAGAAAAAAAATCTTTCCACTATTTAGTTTTTGATTATGATGACTCCTTTCTCTTCTATTCTCTGGCCCCAATTTTTATAAACTGTTTTTTGAGTGTCCTATGGGCTGGGGCAGGGTGGGAGATCTGTTCCCTTCCCCAATCTTCTCGGCTCTCTTCCATACCCCACCCTCAGCCCCACTGGTTGCCAAACACTAAATCTGCTGACACCCACCTGCCCCACCTCCTGTTATGGCCATGAGGATAGGCCCAGCACATTTTTAGGTTGGGGATTGGGAGTAAGGGAGGCCCAGGGAGGTCTCTCTCAATTTTTTCATAACAATTTTCTCCAGAGTTTGAGTTTTTTTTGGTCTTAGTTTTTTGGCAAATTAGGGTGGCTTGGGTGTGGGAAGGGGGGGCTGACCTGAGAGTCACTGCAGCTCTAATGCCACGTTTTTGTACAGAATTGATGGTTGATTCTTTGTTCTCTTGAAATAAACAGAGAAAAATGTTACCTTTCTTTTGCTGCTCCTTGCCCTCCCTCTCTGGAATATATGGGGTCCTGATTAGTTTCTCTTCCTGCTTCTACTTGTTGACCAGCCACAGGCAACCAGGCCTGGAAGCAGCAGGAAGATGAGAATCTGGGTTTTTCAAGACTCTTGGCTGTGCCAATTCCTCACAGCTCTGCTGGGGAAGAGATTTTGGAGAAAAATGTCGAAGATTCTTCTTACTTTGGCACAGAACTTGCCTTATGGTTCTCTGAGGCCTCAGGGTTGCAGAGGACCTTCAAGAGCATGATGTCAAGAGGCCACACATTGGCAGCCCCCATCCCACCCTCATTTGGCATTTTGTTGCCACTCTGTTAAAAAAAAAAAAAAAGAAGAGGAATGGGTCACTGGCCTTTAAAAACTAATTTTCACATAAAAGTCTAGATTTCTGGCTTCTCTTGGTAAAAAAAAATCTATCAGTCTGACAATGCTGGGTCCTCATTTCTGAATGGCAACAGATGGCTGCAGATGAATGAATTGGATGTAGGCTTTTCACCACAGTCCCCAGGACTTGGCTCCGAGGTTGTTTCAATTTATTATTGGGCTGATGCTGTGTGGCTATTTTTGTTTGTGGAGTTAAAAGGAAAGTGAAATATTTTCCATGTCTTTTTCCAGATTGGCTTCATAACTGGTCTATTTGTTTCACCTATGTTACCTGCCTGGCTTTTGTACGTTTTTTGGATTTTTGACTCTTGACTTAGACATCCTGGGTGTCCTCTAAGACCTTCCTAACCTCTGCTTTACTGCCTCCAGGTATCTTACAGGATGGCTCTGAAAGCTTCAGAAGTCAGGGAGCTGGTGTTTCCTGCACACTTAATATATGCCATGTGCTGTACCTTACACAGATGAGCTCCTTTGACCTTTACAGTACTCTTGAAAAGGGTACACTTTGTGGATGAGGAAATTGAGGCTTAGAGGGGTATGTGGCAAAGGTGGGGTTTGCACCTGGGCTTCCTGACGCCAGAGCCTGCATGCTTAACCATTGCTGTGTTTTTTCAACCGTTTTTAATTTTTCTTTTATGTTAAGGGACCCTCTGTCCCTTAAGAATTTTGCCCAAAAGCCTAATATGGAAAACACAGGAGCAGGGCTGTAGGGCTTGACTATGAGATAGAGGGTAGTATCTCTGCCTGCTCAGGCTGAGGAACCTCTTTGAACAGTCTGAAAACCATCCATCTAAATCTGATCTGATTCTCTAGTTTTATAGCCAATACAGCTTGGGTCTACAAAAATTAAGTGACATCCCCAAGGTTATCCAGCCAAATAAAGGGAGGACCAGAGCCCAGAATCCTTCATCTCCCGCATAAGGCTTTCTATCCCACTATATTGCTGCCATTTTTTCTAGATGCCCTTGAGACCACGTGTTTATTTCTGTATTTTCAGAACTGAGCACAGGGCCTGCCACATAGGAAGCTCAACAAAAGGACCAGTGGAACCCAAATTTGATTCCTCACAACCCATATCCTTTTGTCCAGTCTGTGAACGAATGCTCTGCAGGCCCCTGTGGCCCCTGTGCAGGTGTGTTTTGTTTGACCTCCACTATGTTTAAATAATTTTTTTGTATTTCTTGCTCACTAATTTCACATAAAAAGCCATGCCCCCCTGTCCCGTGAGTGTCCAAACTGTTCTAGAAAAACTGAAGGCTTTGGGGCTGCACTATCCAACATGGTAGCCATTAGTTACATGTGACCACTGGAATGTGGTGAGCCCAAGTTGAGGTGTGCAGTCAGTGTAAAATACACAATGGGTTTCAAAATCTTAGTACAAAAGAATGTAAAGTACCTCACTAATAATTTTTATATTGATTACACATTGAAATGATACTATTTTGGATATGTTAGGTTAAATAAAATATTAAAATTAATTTGGCTTGTTTCATTTTACTTTTCTTAATGTGGTTACTAGATTCTCTTAGGGGTTCACATCAGATTCTGGCTGGACAATGCTGCTGTAGATAGCCAGGTCCCACTGCTGGATAGTAGATGCTGAGTGGAGGTTGCACCTCCTTGACATGGCCCTGTCTCCACCACTCTCTTAGTAGGTGCTTCACCCACTCAAGGGTTACCTGCCTTGTTCACTCCTGGTGGCCTACAGGCAGGAATATTTGCTGCCTGTGCATGAGTCCCCAATTACCACTGGGGTCTCCTAGGATAAAAATCCTTCCTAGGATTTAGAAATATTAAGGCGGTCTTAAAAATATTTGAAGGCTAGGATCTCCCCTGAATCTTGTTCATGGACTTAGCATCCCCTATGCCTCCATTGATTCCTCCTCACACAGTTTGGTTTTGTCACTGTTGGGAGTGAAAGAGCTTGGGCTTTGGCTTCAATGGCAAGACAGGGTCCCTTGTTGGTCCTTCTTGGCACTCTTCACATGTAGAAGCATTCTCTCTTGGAACTTCCATTTTAAGGTACAATGGGGCACCTTGCCTCCATCCTATGACTTGTGTGGGGGCTCAGGAGGTAAGGACTAGATAGGACTTACTATATAACAGACCTAAAAAAAGTTTGGTCTCTCAGCACCTTCAATCTACTGCTATCAAGGTAGTACTGGATGAAAGGTCCTAGAGGTGGTATGAAAATGTGACCTGCAACAGAGACCTCACAGAGGAGCTTGTAGAGTTTCTCCCCAGCCCTGGCCACTCAAGGGACCAGAGAGGAACAGACTTGAGAAGGACAGAGGGTGGTTTTTCAGAAACCCTTCTGGAGGGAAGATCATCTCTTTACTGATATGGATAAGGATGTTTAGTTGCCAGGCATCATAGCAAGGCGGGGAGCCTTTGGAGTGGTCATATAGGGGGACAGGGTAGAGCTGGCATAACTCAGGCTGTTTGGGGCAGTGGTGGGTGTGTTGACAGGGCTGGTGGTGGAGGGCAGGGAGAGGGTGGT